TTTTTTCAGGACTCTAGAAATAGTTGTGATGCTTACACTGTGAATATTTGCAAAAGTAATGTTGTCTGCCAAAACTGTGTCTCGAATCTCAGTGAGTTTTATGCCATTGTTTCTGATGACCATATCAACAATGGCAGTTTCCTGCACATCAGTGAGCATCCTTCCTCTCCCACCTGTGTGAGGTAACCGTTGAGTCCTAAGCAGAAATGCTGAAGCAATTACACACAAGTCTATTTACTTCTGTAATGTGCAACTCAGTCAAATGCCCTTGCAGAATACAAGTTACCTGTTGGTTTGCCGGAAAACTCTAACAAACAGAACAGAAATTAAGTTGATTCAGTTGTTACTAAGCACTGTTTTTTCTGTTTTTTGGTTCCAAATGTCTTCAAACCCTTATTTGTCTTTTAAGGCTCTTCATAGTGGCAGTTTGTCAACTTTGTAAAACAAACATAATGAGAGCCTTTGATGATATGCGTAAGGCTTATCTAAATGATGGAAAAACAAAAATATGGCCTGTAGTGGCCTGTACGGAAGAGGCTTCTGACTGAAGACATCTCTGGTTAGTCCTCCACAAAGATCTGGTGTATTTGTTTACTCAAATTTATTCACACAAAAATAAATACTAAACACCTAAACCTATTTTGCTAATTTAGGGATTCATTTGTGGCTGATTAAATGCACCACAGAAAAACTACTTTTATGTATTTTAGCTGAAAATGTACAGAGAGCAGTAACCGTATTATGCTGGAACAAAGTTATTGAAATAGCAAATAAACTTTAACTGGGTAACACAGAACATGTTTATGTCATGAATGTCATATGGAAGAAACAATTTTACATGTTTTGTTTAGATAGATATACTTTATTTATTCCAATATGGGAAATTGCAGAGTAGTAAAAGCTTTACACATAGTGAAAGTCACAATACAATGAGGTAAAAAGTTAAATAACATCTAGATGTATTTACAACATAAATGCAATATAAAATTGTATAAATAAACAGTGTTGGTTAAAGTACAAGTAAAATAAGTTTAAGGTGCAGTGAACAGATTATATATAATGGAGCACAGTACAGTAGTAAAATCAATAAGATTTAACAGTAGTAAATAAAATCAAGAGAGTTCACATTTGGAGGAAGAAATAAGAAAATAAGGAATTTTTTAAATATTCATAATGTTATTCATAGTCAGGAAGCTCTCATCAAAACAGGGTTAATAAATAGTATAGTTTCCAACAGCCATTAAAACACAAGAAGAAAAAGAGGAAGATTCCCAGAGGATAGGCAGGAAATTAGGGTTATTAAAAACTGTTTATTTTAAAATAATGCTAAATTGAAAAATAAATATATATTCGTACCAACATACCGCTTCACAGTCTTGTACAGTAGGTGGCGGTAAGCACCTTTAAATCGTTTGCAAGCCGCCCATAAAGAAAATACGAAGAAGAAAAAGATTTCCCATGATTCCATAGTTTGTAGTTTACGGAGTAGCTAGCTCGCTAATTGAGCTAACTACACAGTAGCGGTGGCACAAAGGGTAAGCAGGTTTATTCTGGACGGAATCTAAATATATTTAAGAAGAAATAGCGTTTACGGTATCACTGATAGACGAGTTCGTTCTACTTTTCTAAACCCAAATGCAGTTTTTAGCGTAATTCATGTTAGCATAGTTAGCTAGTGTGCAAAGCTAGCATACAAATAACTGTTTGGTTTCCCGCTTTGAAATAGATTTCGGGTATGAATGTTGGGTTTGATGAAACACTCAAGATATATTGACATTATTGTTATCTTTTATCTTATGTGTAATAACTTTGTTTAAAGAATTGAGCTGAGGCGCCGAGTGTCCGATAATGGATGTAGTGCAGGAGCTAGTTAGCGCCTGCGGCGCGATTTTCAAATGCATCAGTGGACCTTCACTGTAGTTATATTATTGATTTCTTTGTCAGCTTTTAAAGTCGTTTAATTTGAAACGTTCGCGGTTTGAACAGTTATTTTACTGCAGTTTTCAAAAACGGACCTTATTGTTTAGGTCGACCTTCGATCAAAGTGCTGCATGATTCATGAACCTGTGATCTATAATGTTTCATAAAGTCAGTTTTAAATGTCTGTGTTTAGATCCAGCTGTAGGTTGGTAGCATCATTATAGCTTCTTGTAGACAGAAACAGAGCAACTGTTGCCTAGGAAACGACTTTACTAATCACTTGAGACTGATTAGGAGCTAAGAGGTTGGAACAAGTGGGACTCAAAGCCTCCATGGTTACTGACAACAAATCATGGACTCATTTTTGCTCTTCTTCATCTGTTGAAGTGAAACTGAAGCCAGATGAATCACCGTAAGACGGTGTAGGACCTTCTTTTTAAACAGATTTGGTGAATATTGTTTGGTTTTAAACCTGTGCAGGTGAGATGACCTCCACGCTGGGCCAGACGGCTCCTCTGGTCTCAAACCTGGAACCAGGGATGGGGAGGTCTGCTGCCGTGCTGGGGCTGTCTGCGGGGGTAGGGGGGGCAGAGATGGAGCTGCAGAAGATGCTGATCAATGAGAGGATCAAGTCTGAAAACCACCGAACCAACTACCAGAAGCTGATGGCTGAGCACACCAGGTTTGGATTATCAGGATGTTTCTCTACAGATCAAAGGAATATTGATCCGCTGAGATCTTTAGCTTGTGTTGTTTGGTTTGACCTGTGCAGCCTGCAGACGGATTTCACGCGGATGCAGAGCGAATTTAAACGCCTGCTGAGCGAAAGACAGTCGGAGCAAGAGAAGCTGCAGCGTCTGCTGGCGGAGCTGCGAGGAGAGCTGCTGGACAAAACCCGGGAGCTGGAGGAGCTACGGCTACAGGTCCGACTCAGAACCACAAAGGACTCACTAGTTTATACTAATCCCAAAAAGAAAACGTGGAACAGGTGTATGATTTCTTTTCATGTGTGATGCTTTGCAGGTGATGACGCCTCAGCGGTTGGAGCTGCTCAGGGCTCAGGTGCAGCAGGAGATGGAGGCTCCTGTGAGGGAGCGCTTCAACAAGCTGGAGGAGGTAAAAACGCAGAGGTTATTCTAATGGTTGATCATCCTTATGTAGTAATGCAAAATCCAGGGATCAAAAACAACTTTGCTTACCTATTTAGTAGTGTTGGATTGATAGAATGATCTAACTCACACAAAGAACAATAGTCAGCAACATCATTTGAGTTTGACATTTTTCAGTTCTTATTTGATTAAAACTGGTCATTTTTATTTAGAATAAATCAAAATATGTAAATTCATAAATTATGAATCCACACCGACCTAATATCCCAAATAAAAGCTTTATTTTATTGTTAGATAAAAGTAGATATTTATTTAGTAATTTCAGTTAGTTTCATCCCTTGTTGAAGGATTCTTAACTTTCAAGCCAAATTTTATTTATTTATTTATTTTTTTAATATTGACATATTTTTTTTTTACTATTGAGCTGTTTTAAGTTTCTTGCTTTTTTTGCGCCCCTCATGAAAAACATCCCCTCCACTGCTGGCAGGTTTAAACACTTTCCTCAATGTCGGTGTTTACAAAGTGTTCCTGCACAGTTCAGTGGAAAAATGTTTTAGTGGGCTGAACATGATCAGAGCACTCCGTCTTTTCCTTGTACATAAAAAAACACAAACAGTTTTTCCCGCTTTTTTATGTGAAACAAGTAGAGTTAAACTCCTCTTTGTATATAGTTAAATAAAGAACAAAGATCACAGTTTACATGCAATGTCTGTCTCACTGGCAGATCTTGGATCAGCTTCTCTGATTGGTTGTCAGCATCCAGCTGCATAAGTTTAGATTTTCCTCCTCCAGCATCGGCCTCTCTAGATGCTCTTATTGCGTGTTGAGCCAAATGAACAACAGGAAACGTGCAGAAAGCTATAAAATGCGCAGCGCTGGGTCTAAATGAAGCATAAAGTCATCAGAATCAGGATCAGACATACTTTAATTTTCCCAGAGGGAAATTACTTAAGTCATAATAAACAGCTCAAGATCTATTGTTCGCTGTTTCTACAAAATAAGTTATAAAATTACATGATTCATGCTAATATCTTATAGAGCTGATATGGGTATGATGGAGGAGACTCATCCACGACATCCGACACTAAACTCTCCTCCTCTTGCATGTTTCCTCTGTCCATAGCGTTCCTTGACAGTGTCGTTTCTAAGTCACCAATTTAGTGCTACTTGGTACCAATGGAATTTCCCATTGGGAACCTACTAGCACTAAGTTGCTAACTGGTTAGCAAGATGGTTCCAACAAACCGGCCACAACCAAACGGGCGTGTGAACCTTCCGCCACAACAATCCCACCCCCTTGATAAACGAACAATCACATTCACTTTATTCACCACTCGAGAGAATTCGGAAACATTTAGAAGAGCCGATTCCCTACGACTTTAAATAATGTTAAACAACTTTTAATCTGAAGAAAAATAAGCATTTATTAACAAATACAAAAACATCTAAAGTCCTGGCTGCTGAATGGAGTGAACTGGTTCGGTTTTTTTCCAGACTCGTCCAGATTTACCTTCATTCTCTCCACTTTCTGCTGCAGGACAAACTCTAAGGCTGTTACTCCAGCATGTCTGTCTGAGCCTTTAATTTTTCCACGTTCTGAGGTCATAAATAGATTTTCTATTATATTTAGATCAAACATTTCTAATATCCCTCTGTCAGTTTAATGTCTGTCAGTTTATTTTTTTATTTGTCATAAAGCATAGATACATTTGACCATAGCTGCTCCTTTATCATCAAGAGTCTTCCTCCAGTCCTTTAAAGGTCTTTGTCTGGTCGTGTCTCCTCTCTAGGAGACGGAGCGGTACCGGTCCGACTACAACAAGCTGCGCTACGATTTCACCTTCCTCAAGTCCCAGTTTGAGCACCAGAGAGAAGAGCACGCTCGTGTGCTGGAGGAGAGAAGGATCATCTACGAGGCGGAGGTGGCTGCTTCTGTTGGAGGTATCAGGGTTCTAGTGATAATTTGCTGATGTCATTCTGGGGTTCTGTTGTCAGGTTGCTCGACTGGAGAGGGACAGAAAGGAACTGGTGGCTCATTATCAGGGCTCAGACGCTCTGAGTGACGGGAGGCGGGTGGAGGCTCTGCTGAGAGAGAAGGCCCAGCTGAACCAGAGGCTCAAAGGCCTGGAGGCAGAAGTAGCCGAGCTCCGAGCGCAGAAGGAGAACTCAGGGCAGCAGGCTGAGAGCGTCCAGCGCACCCAGACCAGACAGCTGACTGAGCTGCAGGCGGCCGTCAAATCGCTGGAGGTGAACACAAAGTGTCTGATAGTGACCGTGTTTTACCGCCTGATCGTTCTCTGATCAGACCGTGTTTTACCGCCTGATCGTTCTCTGATTAGACCGTGTTTTACCGTCTGATCGTTCTCTGTTCAGACCGTGTTTTACCGTCTGATTGTTCTCTGATTAGACCGTGTTTTACCGTCTGATCGTTCTCTAATCAAACCGTGTTTTACCGTCTGATTGTTCTCTGATTAGACCGTGTTTTACCGTCTGATCGTTCTCTAATCAAACCGTGTTTTACCGTCTGATTGTTCTCTGATCAGACTGTGTTTTACCGTCTGATCGTTCTCTAATCAAA